ATGGGCCCTATTGGGCCATAACAAATCTAATTAGCCCTAATGGACCATAAAAATCATTCCTTGATTTATTTTGGGCCGTGAACCCTCTCACAAGACCAATTGGGCCAAAAATCATCTAATTGGATCATAATATGGGCTTAAGCATAAAAAGGCCCAATCTCTCTTCTTTCTTCTCCCTCTCTCGGCCCAAACCACAAAACATGGGAGGAAGAGTTGACTTTAGGATTGCCACCTTATTAATACACCACATACTTCCATGCATGGACCAACATGCAACCATGATGGTCACCTCAACTCTCTCTTTTCTTCTTCTTGATTCTCGGCCGAGAGGAGACACACACACATACACACTCACAAAATTCATTTCAACTCTTTCCAAATCCTCTCAAGAACACTTGCACTCATTCTTCAAAAATTTCGAGATTTAGAGCTTTTCAAGGAGTTTCTTCCACAAAAATCATCATTCAAGGTAAGTTGGTGCTTATATCCATGATCTAACTACTTCATTTCATCAAAAATCTCCTCCTAATCTATTTAAACTCGTGATCTTGCATCTTAGAGCACATCTGAGCCAAAGATCCTCCAAAAAAGCTTGCTAGGCCGAGAATAACATCAAACTTCTCCCATTCTTCTTCAAAACCGAACCCACAAACTCAAGGTGAGCTTCATACCCCTATTTTTTCGGTTTTTATAATGTTTTATGGGGGAGAATACAAGAAAATGTGTAGATCTATGTGTATGTGTATGCTATGTATGATCTTATGCATGTATGTGTGATTTTATGTGTTTTTGTGATGAATATGTAACCAAAAGGGAAGAAATCTCGAGATCTATGCCATAAGAAGGAAAACAAACATGATCTAAGTTTTATTACACTAAACAAGTCAAGAATAATAACTTATAAGATTGTGATAAACATCTTTCAACATAAAACCCATTTTTGGACTTAAATTGTCAAATAAACAAAAGTTGGGTTAAGAATTGTCATTTACAGATTTCCTAAGGGTCAAAGGAGTCAAAACAGTTACAACAAATGTTTTTATGAATATTATGCTCTTCAAAGGACTTGAAATGTAAATATTAGCTTAATGGGCTAATTTTTGGGCTTTTCGGCCCAACAAGCCCAAAGTTGCGAAAATCATGAATTTAAAAGTGCTGAAATGGTAATTTCTTCAAAACAGGGGATAAAAAGCTAAACAAAACTATTTCAAGGGTTAAAAATGTTCTTCTTTTCCAAAAAGGATCAAAAATGTAAAGTTTTTGGATTTTGGGAAAAATTGTAAAAGTTGCAAAAGTTTGGGTTTTAAACCGAAAAACACTCTTTCTGGAAGGACTGAAACTGCCAAAGATTAAACTTGAGCTAAAAACATCATTTGAACAAGTCTATGACTCAAAAGTGCCAAGAAAAGAGTTTAAGGGCAAAAATGTCTTTTTTTTATAAGGGACTAAAATTGTCGTTTTTATTAAAGAAGGGCTGAAAAGGTCAAACCAATATTCTTAAGTCTATCATTTTATTTCTAGAGTATTGAGTCAAAAATACTAAACTACGACTTACAAAAATTGAAAGATGAATACACGTATAACTCCAAATATCGTTGTAAACAAATCGATCGGTCTCGAGTCGATACAAAAATAACAAATCGTTCAATCCAACCCTCCAACAATTATACAATACCTAAGACAAGTAAACATTCCAAAACCTTGGGCTTGAAAGTCTCAAATCATGCTTGTCGGACCTTGCAAATCCATTAACATGATCTTTGGGCCCAAGGGATAATGATTATATGTTAAATGGGCCTTCTATGACCCAATTCCATATAAAGGGACCTTCAATGGCTTTTAAGTGCTGTTGGGCCCTAGTGGTCCATTAGTAATGCTAGTAAGGTCAAAGTAATCAAATGCGAGATAGGCCAATATGTCCTTCGCATACCCAACAGCCTAAATTAACTCACGAAAGTAGCAGGACTTCGTACTCCTCTCCTCTTCGTTTGCTAGGCTTATGAGTAATCAAAGTAAACAGATTCAGGTTGTTAATCAATAGTAATCAAGGTTGTTTGGATTAAGTGAGTAATAACGAGCGACACCTCTAAGGATCGTCCGTAGTCTGTAGTTATAACTAGTCATTATCAATGCATGGTTATAACGACTCACAACCATTAATTAATCCAACACCCCCCCCCCCTGAGTAATCAAGGAAGAGTAATTAAAAATCATTCGTTGTGGCGGTATAGCAATTCGTAAACAAGTATATCGCGCGTTATCGGAAAACATCGGGTTATTCTAGGAAATCAACACCACTCGCTTGTAATTTCTATAAATATAATACAAAACTCCCTTTTATATACACGTTTTGAAATCATTCATGCATCAACTTATGGATCTTCACACTTTGACAAACTATTGCCTTTTCAGAAAATATATTTTTTTCTGGGTTTTACAAACTACACAAATCATTTTTTTTTATCACAACATTGCTTATGAACTCACCAACATTTCATATGTTGACGTTTTCCAAAATAACTTGTATTCTCAGGTAACAGGTAAGCGGAAGGGTAATATCAAGTAATGTTAGGATGTTATGTATTTTTTGAAAACTCTCAAACAATTTATGTAATGAATGTGTAATATTTAAAACAATGTACTGGATGTAAATAATATCAGTTGTAATGTATTGATGCATGGTGATGTTTATGTTATGATTCATGTATATTCATTGTAATGATATTCAATTTAAGTCACGCGAGCCCTCGGACGTTTCCGCCGTCTGGTTTCGGGGGTGTGACAATATACTTCATTGATAAATAGTTAGTTTAAACCTTATATAAATAGGAATACATAAGAGACCAAATCTAACCCTAAAGGTTTTGGGCCAAAACCCTAATCACTAATAGATATATATGACCTCTTAAAACATATGATCCGATGGAAATACTAGTTCTTGATGTGCAACAAACTTGTAACTCTTGAATGTGAACCGTGAAAAGTCTAGTAAACCTAGCGGTTTACAACTCTTAAAGGTGATTTGCTCAACAAAATGGTATGAAGGATCGAAAGTAAATTGTTAGTTTTTTTTATGATATAATAGTTATTTTTCTTTTGGTGTTACTATCCATAATATTTTTGTTTTCAATTGATTAAATACATAACACTAGAGGTGACAATCTTCGACCCAACTCATAACCCGACACGAACCCAACACAAAAATAAACGGGTTTGGGTTGAGATTTTTGATCCGCTAACCCATCAACCATTTTATTTCATGGGATGGATCGGGTTACCTATTTGAGCTCGTGGGTCAACACGTCAACCCGATTATATATATATATATATATATATATATATATATATATATATATATATATATATATATATATATATCATATTATATATATATATACACTTTAAAAAAATTATATTTTTATTTACAATCAATGGAATATACCACACAATTGCACTTTTCATTAATGTTTTCAATTTCATTTGGATGTTTATGAGTTTTATGACTTTATTTTGGAAACTTTTTTTTTTAAAAATTGTTGTTTATTAAGTTATTATGTTAGATTCGTATTTGGTAGTTCATTTCATTTTAATAAATGTAAAATGCTAATTATTAATTACTTTAGAGGTGTATAATTCGTATAAATTTAACATATGAAAAGTTACTTAAAAATGACCTACTGACCCGCGAAATCATATAGTTAAGCGGGTTATGTGGGTTGGATTGGGTTGATGTTTCAAGTTGCCAACACATATATTATATAGGTTGGGTTGGGTCAATCTATTCTGGCCCGCCAACCCGCCAACTCAAACACAACCCAAATGTCAAACCTACTGCACACCTGTTTTATATATCTATACCTTTTATTGTTTGAAGCCTTTATTGCATATGTGTGTCATTTTTATATATTTATGTGTAGTAATTTTATGAGTAAATTACACGTATTATCCCTATGGTTTAGGTAATTTGCGTGTTTGGTCTGTAACTTATTTTTTTAACTCGGAAAGTCTCTACTGTTTGGTTTTGTTACGCGCTTGATCCTTGTCTTACCTAAAAAAATATTATGCTATTAATTTTTTAATTTATTTAATTAAACACACCACAATCCCACTCTCCTCACCTCACCTTACCTACCCATCATTTTCCCCTATTTAAATAATAGTCTTTTTAGGTAAGACAGAGACCAAACGCATAACAAAAACAAATAGTAGGTACTTTCCGAGTTAAAAAAATAAGTTACGGACCAAGCGCACAAATTACCCCAAACCATAGGGACTATTCGTGTAATTTACTCTAATTTTATTTTTGTACAAATTAGTTACAGTTTAGAAATTAATTTTTGTCCTAGATTAGAAATAAAAAACTATATATGTCGTAATTAAAATAACTATAGCGAAAATCATTTTCAAGCAGGCTTGCAAATTGTAATTAGCTCAATAAAGTGTTGTACTAGTTGATAAAAAGTGTTGCACTTATATGATGAGAAACAAAAGAAAGTGTTGCACTTCAAAGGCAAAAATGTTGTTAAAGGTTGTGAGAGTATTGAATAGAGTTTCACTTCGTATTAAAAGTGTTGCCAAACACACCGTTATTCTCCACATGGGATGTCCTCTTATTCAAACACAAAAGAAAAATAGAATAATCTTAAAAAATTTGACATCCCCTTTGGAAATCTGAAGTCGTTCAATCCAGCCGCCTTTAAAACCCATTTTTTCTCTCTCAAATTTCATTAACCTTTTAGCGTTCTTTTTAATTCTATCTCTATTCTCATCTTTCCCTCACACATACAACACCTAAGACACAGACAAACAAACACTTACACATGGGATCTTTGGTGGGACATGTGGCACCCGGGTTTTGGTTTCTTCTCAAGGGTTTTTGGCACCTTCTCAACCATATCAAATTTCATGTTCAAAACCCCAAAACCTATCATTCTCTACCGTGGTTTCCCTTCACCAAGATCAGGTATTTGGAGCTTTACTTCATAATGGTAGGTTGTTCCATGTTCATAGCTATGGAGCTATTTATTGGACCACATCGTCACCAGCCGTTTGACACAGATGGCACCATTCCTTCCAACCATCTACACAACTTTGAGCACTCATTCATTTCCCTGGCATTTTTGGTCTATGCTTCCTTTGCGATACTACTAGACAAGTTTGGACCCATAATCCAATACGAGTTGACTCATTTGCTTGAAGGTATTGCCTTTGGGCAACAACTCCTCCTCTTCCACTTCCACTCAGCTGATCACATGGGTGTCGAAGGACAGTACCATATGCTTCTACAAATACTAATTCTTATCTCTTTCACCACAACCCTTATGGGCATTCGCTACCAGAAAAGCTTCTTACTTAGCTTCATAAGATCCATTAGCGTATTATTCCAAGGTCTCTGGATCATTGTCATGGGTTTCATGCTTTGGACTAGAAGGTTGATTCCTAAAGGTTGTTTCTTAAACCTGGAAGTGGGTCACCATGTGGTCCGATGCCATGGAGAAGAAGCCTTAGAACGGGCCAAGTCTTTGGTGAATTTTCAATTTAGTTGGTATTTAATATGTGTGACAGTCTTTGCCATATCGCTTTACTTGGCTATGTACAAAATCTATGAGGAAAAAGTGGAATACCAGTCGGTAACAACGTACGATCTTGAAAAAGTACATGAAGGTGTCGAGGCTCAAAGGAAACTCGGTGAATCAAAGAGCTTTCTTGTAATGGAGGAATCTTTTTCTCCACTTGACATTGAATAGTAGATATTTAAGGTATAAATGAATAAAAAAGAAGCTCTGAATTTGTCAGTTTAAAACATCTCCTATGTAAGGTCCATAGAAAAAATGGACAGGTCTATACAATATCACCACCAGTCCTACATACCATTCAAAAGGTTCTTACAAAACCCCTATACACTTTGTTATTTTTTACAAATACATACAAAAAAATCAAATATTACTTTTTAATAAATTACGCCAAGAAATAGAGCTAATTAAAACCTTATAAACGTGACCAACATTGAGTATGTTTCTATAACTTTTCTAATATAAATATTTTTTTTCAATTTATAATTAAATTAAAATCAAATACGCATTATCAGAATAGACAACGAAAATATAAACGTGCCCTTGTGAATATATTATCATGTCATATATAAATTATAAGTTATATAAATAAATAATTAGTAGGGAGGAACTTTTAATAAACCTTCAAACGGTTGATGGATAATAAGAACATTCATAATAGATAGTTCACTTGGTTAAATGAAAATAGAGTAAATTATAGTTTTGGTCCATGTGGTTTGGTTAGATTCATATTTTTAGCCAATTTTTGAAATTTGATAACATGCATGATTTAAAGAAATTGCACTGTACATCCTTATACATTTAAAAAGACCATTTTACCATTACTATTATATTTTTGTTTTTCTTTTACTATTATATTTTTGTTTTTCTTTTTATATATATATATATATATAGATATATATATATATATATATATATATATATATATATATTTTGTTGTTTAATTTTTTAATGTTTTTTTTTACATTTTGTTCGTTTATAATTTTTTTGAAGTTTTTTTGAATAATTAATTCTAGTTTTTTGATGTGTTGTTTGAATACATTTTAATTTTTTTTTGACGTTTTGTCTGTTTATATTTTTTTAAATATTTTTTGTAAAAATATAAAAAAGTTCGTTAAATATGAATATTATTAATATAGATTAGGTATAAAATTATTTTTTAATTGGATTAATAGATAGACTACCTGAAATTCGAGAACGGGTTTCAAGTTATATAATGGCTAATTGGAAACCATATAACTCGAAAACAAACAAAATTTCTAAAAAAAAAAAAATGAACTCGAAAACATTGACACATGTATTTGAGTTATAAGAATTCTGATTAGCATTTGACATTCGGAACAAAATGTAAAAAAAAATTCTAAAACTAAAACAATTCAACTCTAAGCCATTAACACTCATTTCGAAATCCGGTTAGCCTATACAATAACTCTATTAAAATAAATAATTTGATATGTAATATATGTTAATCATATTCGCATTTAACAAACTTTTTTATATTTTTTATACAAAAAATATTTATAAAAAACTTTATAAAAATATAAAAAAACAAAAGATCAAAAGATCAAAAAATCATTAAAAATATATTCGAACAAAACATCATAAAAAAACAAAAAAAAAACTTAGAAAATTAATCAAAAAAAATGTAAACTATCAAAACGAAAAAAAATTAAAAAATATATTCGAATAAAATTTCAAAAAAATATTAATCATAAAAATATAAATAAGTAAAATAAAATGTAAGCAGAAAAATATAAAAAAACTAAAAATTATATATATATATATATATATATATATATATATATATATATATATATATATATATATATATCTATATTATTATATATATATATATATATATAAATATAAAAGTAAGGGTAAAATAGTCTTTTTAAATGGACTAAAGATGTGCAATGCAATTTCTTTAAACCACATAAATACATTTTGTCAAATTTTCAAATGTTGGACTGAAAGTACGAATATGATCAAACCACAATGACCAAAACTATAATTTACTCATGAAAATATAAGTCTAGATATATCATTCAAAAATGAAATTCTAGGTACTTAATAGATTCTGAGTTAGATGGGAAAAAAAAAGTTTTAAAATTTTTAAATAAATATTATAAATTAGTTGTGGTAATGTTTCTTGGTCTTTGTAAGTTTAATGTATTTTAAGAAGAATTGGTACAACTGCATAAAAGTTGTACAATGAAGATGTTACCATACATTAAAATTTATAAGGTTCAATAAATTACGGGTGACGAGTCTTCCACAACATTTTCTTATTTAACCACGGAATTTTAAAGTTAATGGACATATATACTCCTCAATAATAGATAATATATTTTACTTATATAATTTCTTTTTTCGAACGGCAAATTGAAATAAAAGCTAGCGAAAAACTAGCTAAACCAAAACAAAACAATTAGTTCAAGACAGCGTTTTTCAACCAATCAGTCCAATTTATGCTAGCCTTACGATTCCTAGCACTATACCAATTAAAAGAGAAAGAAACAACGGAATCAAACAAAACTTCCTTTTTCATCTTCTTGTTCCCAAACAGGATATCATTTCGAAACGTCCACAGCACCCAAAGCAAAGTAGAGCAAACCGAATCCATAATCAACCTTTTAAACCTCACCGTCGTCAACCCATCGACCCACTGCAACTGCTCTTCAACACTTGAAAACGAAGGAATATGAAGGTACACCCACTTTGCCACCTTAAGCCAAAGATGAAAAGCCACTGTACAACTAAAAAACAAATGATTCACGCTTTCCCGTGTCTGTTGACACACCGGACACAACACCGAAGTAATGTCTAGCCCCCTTCTATCCAAATTATCTCTCGTAGGAAGTCTATTTAGCACCACTCTCCAAATAAAAATATTAAGTTTTATTGGGAGCCACATATTCCATCTAGTCTCCACACCAACTAAAGGAAGACTAAGCCGATCTAAAAGCAGTCGAGTCTCTTTCACCAAATACGTATCTTCGTCTCCAATAGCCCACCGCCAAGAATCCCTACTAGTTGAAAGGCGCACCGACTGCAACATCGTCATCAGTTGAAGAAGCTGATCAACCAAAACCCTACCATCAAACATCCGAACCCATTGAAACCTCCAATCATGCCTGTCCCAATAGTCACTAACCAACGCATTAACATTACTAGCTACAACACATAAACGAGGAAATCTAGCTCTAAGTATAATGTCACCACACCAAACATCATTCCAGAAGCTAATACTTTGGCCATTCCCCACCCTCCTACATATAGAGTCGAACGGAATTAAGCCTTTATAATGCATATCCCAAACCGTATTAACAATCCCGAGCCAAACTCCTTTCTTTGGTTTGGACCGAGAGGCCATGCAAAAACCCTCCATCACTCCCGTAACAGCTTTTAATGAGGTCCACCCAAAGAAGGTTAGAGCTATTCAAAAACCGCCAACGCCATTTATAAAGCAAGGAGTAGTTAAACGACTCCAAACTACCAATGGAAAGGCCACCATTTTTTTTATCATTTTAACACCATCTCCCATTTAACCCAATGTAAGAATCTTTGATGATCATCAGCTCCCCAAAAGAATCTAGCTCTACTTCTTTCCAACTCCTTACAAACCGAATTAGGCATCCGAAACATGGAAAGAAAATAAATTCCCAAGCTGCCCAGCACTGATCTAACCAAAGTTAATCTGCCTCCAATAGATAACATCTTTGATTTCCAACCCGAAAGTTTTTTACGGAACCTGGTAAAAATTGAGTCCCGTGCCAACTTCCTATGCATAAGTTGACCAACAGGAAGCCCAAGATAAACAAAAGGAATCGAGTCTGCACCACACCCTGTACATGCAGCTAATTGCGCAATAGCCTCCTGCTCAACACCAACCCCGTACAATTTTGACTTATGAAGATTAATCTGAAGCCCAGACGCCATATAGAAGACCCTAAGAATTCGAATTAAATTCTTGATATTCTCAGCATCCCATTCTCGAAGAAAGATTGCATCATCCGCATAAAACAAGTGCGAGATATGCAAGTTCTGTTCTCCAATAGTAACACCTTTAAAAATCGAATTGTGAGTAGCATCTTCCATACACACATGCAAACCTTCCATAATCAGAATAAACAAAAACGGAGATAACGGACCTCCTTGACGAAGACCACGCTGCAGGTGAAACTCAGCTGTCGGATTACCATTCAGAAGGACCGAAGACCTAGCAGACTGCAGGCAACCCCTAATCCACATGCGTCATTTCTCACCAAATCCCATTACCTCCATAATGTTATCTAAATACTCCCATGAGACTGAGTCATAGGCTTTTTCAAAGTCTACTTTAAATAACAACATTTTCTTTTTTTCAACTTGGACCATCTAACGATTTCATTAACCATAAGAGACCCGTCTAAAATCTGCCTTCCTTTTATAAAGGCAGACTGGACTGGATTGACTAAATAGTCTACCACCTTAGCCAATCTATTAGCCAATAACTTTGCAACAATCTTATACTGCAACCCAATTAGACTAATCGGCCTATAATCTTTGATCTCGGTTGGATTTTCAACTTTAGGAATTAACGTAATAAAAGAAGAGTTACACCCTGGCGAAATGATATCGGTATCAAAAAACTCCCTCATGAAGTCATACACATCCTTCTCAAACAGACTCCAAAATTGTTTCAGGAACCGGAACGTAAACCCGTCGGGCCCCGGAGCCCTATCACTCCCACACGACCACACCGCCTCCCTGACTTCATCATCCGAAAAATAAGCTTGTACGGACTCCACCTGTTCTTCATTTAGTTTTCTAAACCGAGAGCTAGGGGTACCCATCCTAACCACCTTAGAATGCTTGAATTTATTTTTGTAAAACTTTAAAAACGCCTCTTTAACTAAACTTGGATTAGTCACCTAAGTACCATGTTGAGAGATTCCTTTAATGGCCATCTGTTTTCTTTTTCTTTTTAACATGCCATGAAAGAAATTTGAATTCTCATCTCCTTCTACCGCCCATTTAACCTTAGCCTTTTGAGCATAGTCCATACTCTCCGCCTTATCAATATCTGAAACCTGTTGAAGAATATTCTTCCTCTCGACCATGTCATCAGCCGAAACAGTCCCACTATCAATCAACTTATCAATATCAAGCAAGCGATTAATAAACTCTTTTCC